GCTTCCCTTAAGCATACCAGGATCCTATGATCATGGGTTTGAAAACCAGATTCAACCTTATGTTTCTAGGTTTGTCAGCGCCATACCCATGGTCATTGATTTCAGCAAAGTGTTTGACCGTCTGAGACCAGCATCACTTCATGATTTCATCCACATCCAGCTGACACGCTGTGATATAACTGGAATACTGTTCAAAGCAGTGGGGGTGGTCGGGTAGCCTGGTGGTTAAGCGTTCGCTCGTCACGCCGAAGACCCGGGTTCAAATCCCGACATGGGTACAATGTGTGAAGCCCATTTCTGGTATCCCCCGCCGTGATATTGCTGGAATATTGCTAAAAGTGGCGTAAAACCATACTCGCTTGCTCAAAGCAGCGGTAAACCCAACTCACTTATTCCCCAAATTTTCTTTCTTTACGATCTGGTTAAGACAATATGCTTTGATACGTAGACTTGAAGGAACTTGAAGGAACAGATACTGAGTTATCCAGTTTTGGAGACAAGCAGCGTGTAGATCTGATACATCACACACGTAATACACACCGGGGTTGTGTAAGGCAAGGATGTCGGGACCTTCGAGAGCTTTAGAAGACGATCTCGATCACAAGCCACGTGTTGATGACAGGAGGATTACCTGGAAATGTTCATTAAGCTGTGGAACATCCAGATGATCCCATCAGTCAAGTGTTCAGCTGCAGGTGTCACATGTCATTTTATCCCGTACTGCAACGTCTTCAAGTTACATGGTGTCAGCGCTATACCCAAAGGTGTCAGTCTCACCTAGTGGTAATGTCTACTATCTGTGTCCAGCTTTCCAATCGCATGGCGCTGACACACCGTGACATAGCTGAAATACTGTACAAGGCAGAGATAAAGCCCACTCACTCACTCACTCACTCACCCACCCACCCACTCACTCACTCACTCACTCACTCACTCACTCACTCACTCACTCACTCACTCACTCACCCACCCACCCACCCACCCACCCACCCACCCACTCACTCACTCACTCACTCACTCACTCACTCACTCACTCACTCACTCACTCACTCACTCACTCACTCACTCACTCACTCACTCACTCACTCACTCACCCACCCACCCACCCACCCACTCACTCACTCACTCACGTGATGTCAGATAATAGTGAATAAATTGCAAGTGATTCCATGGCATTTGATTGGCTAACCGTGCCATTCTTTTTTTGAGTTTATGTTGCTGACAAAAATAAAGTATATAGGCCAGTCCCACTAGCAGACTACTGTTTCCAGATTGGCTGATATATTGGCTTGTATTATTGTGCTGAAAAATGTCACTTATTTTGTACTGTTGCGTACAGTTTTATAATGTACCAATATATTTATGAGAACTGATTTCAATTTGTTTCGGTGTTGATAGATATTTAAATGTGAAAACGGTGATCACACTAAGCGTAATAGAACTAAGCGGATTCAACACAAACAATATTGAGGTCATTTCTTAAATATCTTGGAGTAGCCAAGTGGTTAAAGTGTTTTCTCGACTTGCTAAGGACCTGGGTTTGATTCCCACTTGTGTTCAGTGTGTGAAGCATGTTGCTGCAGTTCCTCATCATGATGGCACTGGAAAGTTCTAAAAGTGGTGTAAAACCCAACTCACTCACTCATGATTGTGAAAAATGTTTTAATGTTAATGATACTATCCTGTATATATGTGTACCTTCTGTGCCCCCCGTGGTGATTCCGGGTTAGAATATGTCCACAGCAACCCAAGCTGGTTGCATGAGGCTACTAAAAGGATCAGGTCGTCTCTGGGTTATCGTGTCCAGATCAATTATTTACAGACCACCATCATATAGCTAAAATACTGCCGGGTACAGCATTAAACAACAAACAAACGTTTTATGGATTGGCTATAGGGTTCTTTATATACCACTCAAAGAAGTTAAAGAACACAGGTCTTTTCATATGCCTAAAGTAAATACGTTCTGATGTGACAGATTAACTAGAGTCATGTGATAAGATTTGGTGATCTTTAGCTTCTTTTGGGTAATAGAGAAAGAATCTTCTAGTTCTATATGTCATATTCACATTGTTCCAGTATTAAACAGTCAAGCCCTGTCACAATGCTTGTTCACTCTCATATAAGATAAATTACTGCAGTTTAAGTGTGACAAGAAACCACCTGTTTGTCGTTTTGATTGACACCTGTCAATAATCAATGACAAGTGATCAGCACAGGTGGTAAATATGACAGTATAACAGCCTAGCTGAACCTGTGATATGAATGAGGATGATCAGAATGATTGATGGTGAACTATACTTCTTGTGAATACGTCTCAGGGCTATCTAATGAGACCATTGCATAATATCTGTAGGTCTTTGAGGAGAAGTCTTTGGCATAGTGGTTTGTTTATCCTTGTTCTGTTCAATCAGGGCGGTGTTTGTGTAAAAAATGTCATTAATATTAAACTGAATTCGTTTCTTCGGATTTCAAAGTTGACAGATGTTAGTCGGTTATATGGAAGATAATATTTTCATAATAAAAAAGTTTGTTGTTTGGAGACTACAACCTTTGAAATAAATACAAACTGCATGAATTGTGTGGCCTAACACTCAATGAGCAAAGTAAATAATATTTTTAACATAAAAATTACTTGAGACTAACAACCTCGAAATCTAAACAAACTGCATGAATTGGGTGGCCTGACACTCAATAAGCAAGGTAAATAATATTTTTAACAAACATTTCTTGAGACTACAACCTCGAAATCTAAACAAACTGCATGAATTGGGTGGCCCCATATTTAAACATAAGTAAGTAATATTTCATCATAAAAATTGCCACAACCTGTGAAATCTAAACATGCTACAAGCCAAGTAAACACTTGTTTTGACATAGTATTTCTCACACATGATTTTAGAGTCGACATGAAAACACACGCAGCTGCCATGTAGGTCCGCAAATTTAACGACAACAGCCTTCTTTATATTCCTGTCAGCATGGACTCCCAGCAGTTTATGTCACCGTTAATACCTACATGTGACAGTCGTGATGCTGCATGTGACGCCAGAACACAAATGGGAGTTATTCCATCTCCGTCTAGTTTCTTGTCCTCTCCTGGAGGACTTTGACCTGTCAGAAACAGTTGTGGAAAATATAGACGCTGCATTACAAATTGGTTGTAGGATATATGAATTATTACATTGATTACCATTGTAGAAATATGTTTTTGTGCAGTGGTAATTGAACAGGAAGATAGGTTATTCAAACCGGTTGTGTTACAAATTATAATGTAAAAGTGAATTTCGCATGTAAATGTCAATTTATTTTCATGTCATAAATCTGGTAAAGTTTAGTGCCATTGTGAGAGCATATGAAGTCTGACGCATGTTTTTGAGAATGTTGAAGTTTGGTGAGAAACCTGTTTGAGTTTATGTGTAGCTGATATCTGTGGCTGCCGACTCATACCATGCAGTAGGACATGCCTATGGGTTCAAATCCCGCTTTGCCCCAGTTATGTTTCTAGGTTTGTGAGCACCATACCCGTGCTCTGGGATTCCACCGAAGTGGTAAACGTCTGAGACCTGCATCACTTCGGGCTTTCCTCTCACATTAAGCTGACATGCCATGATATTACTGGACTACTGTTTAAAGCAGTGTAAACTTAGCTCACTCATTTAGACAGAGATGCTGTTCTGAGTTTCAACTACACAGTGATCTTAGCGCTAAGACTATTGTTAATTGTTAGGGAGAGGGGGTTGGTGGTGATAGGGCTGTGTACTCACTGGGAGGGCTGTGTGTGTGATAGGACTGTATAGTGGGCTGGGGGTGGTGGTGATAGGACTGTGTACTTAGGGAGGGCTGTGTGTGTGATAGGACTGTATAGTGGGCTGGGGTAGGGGGTGATAGGACGATATGCTGGGGGGTGGTGGTGATAGGACTGTAAAGGGTGGGGGTTTGTTGATAGGACTGTGACAATAAGACTTGATACTAGGGAGGGTGTTGGTGATATACTTGGTGGGGTGGGGATGGGGTGATAAGACTGTATACTTTGGAATGATATCTCCGTGAGCACCATAAGAAAACTCCATTATATATTCAGTTATAAATTCAAGTATATGTACAAATATTCCTTTTTTGCGAACACCTGGAATGAAAGCTGATTTTCAATGGTCCATTTAAGTAATGTGTCCCCACTGTTTTTGACTCTTACACCCAATGGAATCTGTTGAGGCAGATAATTGAGACTGGTTATTCTCTGGTGTTCATGGTTTATATTTTGTCCTATGCCAAATTTGAAGAATGGTACTTGACTAAATTGTACACCACAACACTAAATTACCTTCCATACTATCGTGACTGAGGCATTTCCTTGTCACATGAAAAAACCTGGTATACTGTGTTGTTGATTTCAGCCGATTTCTGGTGTCCCTTTGCCCCAATATGTCTGTATCATTGCTAAAAGTGGCATTAAGCAGAACCAATTGATTCCTTCATTGAAATCAGAATAAAGGGAGCTGTTCCTCAATGAATGGTTAAACAGTGTTTGTTATTACGTCAGACAGGGGAATGACATGTAGCACACATATATCACATTTCCAAAGTTTGGTTCACATAACTAACAAATATCACCATGTAATGTTTAATGACACGCAGTTAACAGTTGTCATGGAAATGACTCATAATTGTCACTTATTAACCATATTTATTTTGATAATGGTTTTGTGTATTATTGAGTGCATTTCGAGGCTTATTTTCTTCTGATTACGATTAATGACATTAACTATACAAGAATAAGATCATTTCTCAATTAATTCTATCCTTTTTGTGTTCATTTTTTAGTCTCTCCACATCTCTTTATAGACATTTGCTTTGTTTTTTGCCCATATTATTTATGCTTATAATTTATAGCTGATTGTTGAAATAATGCAGCGTACTTTTGTAATTCACTCACTTCCAATATACACCTTTCTATGTCGTCTAATTTTGTGTTAATATATTGTTTTGGCATTTTTCAGAGTAAATCCAAGAAGGGTGGTCCTTTGAAGGCCCTCTCGTCAATCTTTGGTTCTGAAGAAAAGACTGAAAAGGGAGGCACTTTGTTAAGGGGAGGTCACTCTGCCAAGTCCAAAACTGACCAATCAAAAAGCAAGAAATTTCAGAGCAAGGATGACAGTAACATGTTAAGTAGAAAAAGTAGAGAGAAAATCAAAGCCAATCCCTACGCTACTGTGAAAATGTGGCGCCCTCTATCTATGACAACAAGTTCAATTAAAGATGATGACGTGTACCAGAGTTTTGATGACTTCCGTGAAATGGCATCACAGTTGAAGCAGCTTGATAAGACTGATTCTCTCGCTAAAGAGCCTGTGAAGTTAAAAAAGACAATATCATTTGAAGATGAAACCAAACCGGACTATTCCGATACCACATCGAGGGATACCGAATTTTCAAAATTGAACGGGAGTGTTAAATCGGACATTAGTGTTCCAAAGAAAGACCCACCCCCAATTTTGAGGAGATCTTCAGTTTCTGAGGAGAGTTATTCACTTGTGAGTGGTACTGTGACAGACTCAGTGAAATATGTTGTGTCACATTCATACGGAGTGGAAGATTTTGACAAGGCAACTAACGATGTTGAAAGACTTTTAACAGACTTAAAATCCACAATGGAATCCTTGAAAGCTTCACGGATAGACCGTAGTCCGAAACAATTTGAAATGTGTCGTGAAGAACTTATTAGCCAAACGAGACATTTCGTCAATGATGCAAAACTTTTAGTCAGTAGTGCTACCCACACAAAGGAGAAACTGGCTGTGAATTTAGACAAGGGCATTCACACTCTCGCCAAACTCTTCCTCCACAGTCAAGCAGTTATGTTGATGATGCAGTCCGTTCATCAAGCGCAGCACCTCGGCTTCGAAGTCATTAAAGTATCCAATTCATTCAAAAGTACCTTGAATGCAGCAAACGCAGCGTGCGGGAAGCCCCTTACAGACCCCCATATGAAATATCTGATGCGACAGGCCACAAACCTTGCCTCACTCCTTAGCACCCTCTTGAAAACACTCAAAGAGTTAAAAAGTAAATAACGTGTCTGTCATGCATAACCCATGTGATGATTGTCAGCTGATTGTCATAATCCACCATGCTGGTATATAACACTGACCTCTTGCTACTCCTATACATTACCGTATTTGACATAATGACTGCTCAACCTGTATGGTATTCAGTTGCTTTAATAACAGAAATTGATTTCCGAAAGGTTTGCCAAAAGGAGAAAATTGGACTTTTTTTTATATCTAGTTTATGCTTTTTAATGTTTCAGTTTTTGGGATGTCATCATGCATGGTTTTGATTGGACAAGTTTCAATAAGCCCGCGGGATGGGTAATCTCAGTGCACATTAACATGCAACAATATCATGACTCGGAAAGACCAACTCAAGAACAGGCTACTATGCTTGTCGTAAGAGGCGACTTATGGAATCGGGTGATGCATGTCATCGATCTCAATTGAGCAGATCGATTCTTATGATATCGATGACTGGATTGTCTGGTCCAGACTTTATTATTCACAGATCGCAGTCATATAGCTGGAATATTGCTGAGTGCAGCGTTAAATGACAAACAAATAATATGATGGCTGGTATTATCAATGTGATAAACCAATGGCATTAGCATTGCAAAAATGACATTATATACTACTCAAAAGAAGTTAAGGATCACTTGATTCTTTCACATTACTACAATTATGAACTACTCTAATTTGAAAGAATCGGGTGGGCCTTAACTTCTTTTGAGCAGTATATGATAAAGGTATTATTACAACTGTGTGTTTTCGCACACCAGAACTTTGTCCGAAATCCTTGAGTACCTTTCACATACTCAAGGGAGTTTTGACAGGTACAGGGCAGTTATTTTGTCAAGTACGGTAATACCTGCCTGTTATAGTTGAAATATATATGCAGTGACTCACCCCTGGTATTGAAGATGCTCACTGATCATTGTAATGACAGATCCTTACACAGAATTCCAGGCCGACATAACACGGACTTAGAGAGACATGCTTTGTTAGCCATTTGTATTGACAATTGTGTTTCAATCTGTTCAGTGATGTTTACACACATAGCTTTCAAACTGTATGGAAAGATACTTTTTGGTCAAATTTTATTTCTTAAGTTTGGAAAATAGTTCTGAAAAATTAATTAAAACTAATTTACCTGATTTGCCTCTTGTGAAGTGTGGTATGAGTTATTTGGGTTTGTGAATCTGCAGCCGTTATCACTAGTACAGGTGTGTTTATCAGCAGATCATACGCCCTTGAATCGGTATCTGTAACATGAATGTATTCACGGAAAGGTTTGAGTTAGGTTTTTCTTGTAATGCAAACGGGTCAATTAAATTTGATCTACACTGTTCAACCTTTGATAGGGATCATCCTATTCTGTCACACAGAAGACTGATTACATATGTGTATATATGTATATAGTATTAATAACTCAGCATCCCATTCAAAGGTTGAGTGTTATAGATCACATCTCTCTGGTTTGGTTTGCAGTAGAAGATGTATAACTATTCAAATTTCAACTTCTGGACGGTGTGGCCAACTAGGAAACTTTTCTGTTTGGGATCTTTTAACCTTTTGATGATAATCTTACATTGTTAATGCAAATTATACTACTCAAAATAATTTAAGGACCATCCGATTCTTTCATTTTACTTTAGTTAATCTGTCATGCCATAGATTCTTTCCTATTACTTTACCTAATCTGTCATGCCATGCCCGATTGACTCTAGTAATATGAATGAATTGGGTGGTCCTGACTATAGTAATATGAATGAATTGGGTGGTCCTGACTATAGTAATATGAATGAATTGGGTGGTCCTGACTCTAGTAATATGAATGAATTGGGTGGTCCTGACTACAGTAATATGAATGAATTGGGTGGTCCTGACTATAGTAATATGAATGAATTGGGTGGTCCTGACTCTAGTAATATGAATGAATTGGGTGGTCCTGACTCTAGTAATATGAATGAATTGGGTGGTCCTGACTATAGTAATATGAATGAATTGGGTGGTCCTGACTATAGTAATATGAATGAATTGGGTGGTCCTGACTCTAGTAATATGAATGAATTGGGTGGTCCTGACTACAGTAATATGAATGAATTGGGTGGTCCTGCCTATAGTAATATGAATGAATTGGGTGGTCCTGACTATAGTAATATAAATGAATTGGGTGGTCCTGACTATAGTAATATGAATGAATTGGGTGGTCCTGACTATAGTAATATGAATGAATTGGGTGGTCCTGACTATAGTAATATGAATGAATTGGATGGTCCTGACTCTAGTAATATGAATGAATTGGGTGGTCCTGACTATAGTAATATGAATGAATTGGGTGGTCCTGACTATAGTAATATGAATGAATTGGGTGGTCCTGACAATAGTAATATGAATGAATTGGGTGGTCCTGACTATAGTAATATGAATGAATTGGGTGGTCCTGACTATAGTAATATGAATGAATTGGGTGGTACTGACTATAGTAATATGAATGAATTGGGTGGTCCTGACTATAGTAATATGAATGAATTGGGTGGTCCTTAACTTTGTTTGAGTAGTATGCATAGTTGTACAGTGTTCCACAGAGATACCCGAGCCATGGTTCACTGCCTGTATATTTAACCTAACACTTAATTTCATTTTTTCTAACACATTCACATCCATCCTGTACTTAAGTTTATTGGAATGTGTCCTTTATTCCACTGTCACAGATATTGAAGAAAGACCCGGGGTAGATTAGGTCTTCAGAAACCCATGCTTTCCGTAAAAGGCAACTATGCTTATCGTAAGAGGTGACTAGGTTCGGATGGTCAGGCTCGCTGACTTGATTGATGCGTGTCATTGTATCCCAATTGCGTAGATCGATGCTCATGATGTCAATCACTGGATTGGGCCAGATTTGATCATTTTCAGGTGCTATCATATTGCTGGAATATTGCTTAGTGCAGCGTTAAGCAACAAGCAACAAACAAACTGTTTTAAACAAAAGATATTGAAGATTCAATGGGTTAAATATCATTGGTCAAGTCTAGTTCTCAAGTAAATCATATAAATTCAGAGAAAGGTCAGTTTGATGTATTGCTACAAAATACTAACATGCTTCGAATATTGTGGGATTGGGTGGGTTGGGTTGGGGTGGGGGGGTGATGGGTTCATGGCTCTACACCCTCTCATATTTGAAATAATTGTTATATGCAATCCAGCAAACATTTGGAATCTATGGTTCAATGTATGTGAGTCTCAAGATCATTTCTGTGCAGACTATAAAGGACATATAACAAAGCACCTTAACAAATTTTGAATAACTTCTTCTTCTCTATGCCTGTTTTCACACTGTTTTAAATGTGACTGACTTCGTGTGTTTCAGATGAGTCCTTCTCCCTGCGTTTATGAGTGGCATTCTAATTTAAGCTCTGCTTACCGCTGCTTATTGTGTTGTAGGTGACTATAAATGTTATCGACCAGTACAAACTAACACTACAGAACTAGGCAGTAGAACATTATACCGCATGTCTAACAAATGGTGCATGTTCCCGACAAAGACTGTCAAGTATTTCTACAAATTAACCATGATGAAAGGCCAGAATACATTAAATATGAGATTTTGTCCAAAAGTCCTCTCTTGAAATTACAGGTTTGATATTTTTAAAGGACTCATCACCATAGACAAAGCCCAGCTTCACAAATCTATTGTAGCGCTATGATTGTTACCCCATATACTTGAACATAGACCTACAGTCATATTGTGCTAAGATTGCTTTGTGAAATGGGTTCTCGGATCTTTCTGCAGTCGACGAAGATGCTTGTTACTTGTCAATTCACAAAATATACTCCTAAGAACAAGTTAAATACTACCTGGTTCTTTCATATTACTATAGTTAATCTGTCAGAATCAGATTCTGGGAGAATCAGGTGGTCCTGAACTTTTCTTAGTAGAATTAATAAGTATGAAGTCCCATCTCATTTTTTATGTACTTTTGGAAATCTCATATTGAATCTGTTGTGGTTTATCAATGGGGCAAAGAATTAGTCAAGATGAGTTATCCTGTCATGTCTTCCTGATCAATTCATCCTCATCATGTCTTGGACAGAAATGAGTTTTTAGCATGTCTTACTAGACCAGCAAGTATATAATTATATCATTATCAAAGTATTTCAACTGAAACAGGTTTTCTGTTATCAAAGCAATTACATTTGTTTATATTTTTTAGAAAAAAAATATTACTTAATGGGTTCTGTTTATAATTGTCTCATAGCTCTTGTTGCCTGTGCCTCTTCTTTTGACATCGTTGTGGTCGTCTGGAAGCAAAAGAGAATCAACATCAGTCTTCAGTAAATAAGAATTCAACTTTTATTTTGAAAGAAAGGATTGTTGTCATCAGATTTTGTTTCATACAAATCATTGTCTTATCTTTAGTTTGGTACTAACTGAAATTCCAGTGGATGGTGGATATGCATGGTCCAAGGGGAATAACTCTAGTTGCAAGGTCCTGTCGCCCTCAGAACTATCTTCACAAATTAAAGGTTCATTGTTCAAATATGTCATAACAAATTCATTTCTTTTCAGATGTATTTATTTATAGTCTTCATATATGTATAATATACACATATTTTTAGAACAGAAGGCCAGTTGTCACATAATTTTCAGTTATTTTTTAGATTTCTACAATATTCCGTATTAAGATCAATTTTCAATACCTGCAAGCTGTGTGGAGTATTATGAACAAGGAATTAACACAAGGGTGTGGAGAATCTGTTATTCTAACTTACACTATATAATGCTTCTGCACTTTAATATTAACATGCAATGTATGATTAACTGCTTGAATCAAAAGTTACAATAAATGAACAAAGTTTGATTTTAAAGGTTTCACAAGTCCTTAAATCAAACCATTTGAAATGTGTAATTAATTTTTATGTTACATAAATATCCATTTGTTATGAATTATTTTACAAGGTAATATTTGACACACATGATTCTTCATGTGTATATCTGTTAAAACAAGCATTATTTTACAGATATTCGCTGTTCATATTCTATGGATTGATGAGAAATAAGCTGGGAGTATTACAAGCTTGTTACTTTATACTCAGCATTCCGTGCAGGGATGTACCGGACCATCTTCCACAAACTGAGACGAATAACAACAATGTTGCACATTTGTTTTTGCAGATACTCATCTTTGCCATTTGTTTCTTTGTTTGTTTGTTGTGTAACACCGCACTCAGCAATATTCCAGTTATGTGACGGCGGTCTGTAAATAATCAAGCCTGGACCAGACAATCCAGTGATTGACATCATGAGCATCGATCCACATGCATCAACCAAGTCAGTGAGTCTGACCACCCGTTACGACAAGCATGGGTTAAATTTCCTCCAACAAACTGATTATTTGTCTCTTATTGTTTTGTTCAGATGGGAGGAAGCTGCAATTTAAATAAAATTCTTATTCCTTTTATAACACTTAAAGGGGTACAATACTTCATGATGTGGAGCCCTGTTTCGGTGTAGGTCTCGTCAGTGTGCTAAATGCCTATTGTCAAACTGAGACATTATGTGTGTTTAATTAGCCCATCATCAACTGATGGACGGGTGCACAGGTGGTCCAGTCATCTAAACCGCTTCAATTCGCTGTGCATGAAGAAAAGGGTTGATATCATTTGTTCACATGCCAGTAGCTTTAAATTGTGTTGCCTAGACAAACATTGTTGGGTTTTTCTCAGTTTATGATCAGAGGTTGGTACGTTCCCATATATATACTGGTACTATACTGCTCAGCTGTTGATAGGGACAGTCCTGTGATTTCATGATATCCAAAAACTGATTACTTGTGACGTGGGTGGGAGGGGGGCATGGTGGCACAGTCATGAGGTGCTGAAGTTCGCTGTTCGCCCTTAAGCATCCCAGAAACCAATGATAGTGAGTTCAAATCCCACTTTCTCCCTGATTATGTTTCTAGGTTTGTCAGCGCCATACCCATGCTTGTGGGTTTCACCAAAGTGTAAATGGGTGAGACCTACATCACCTTAGTTTTCCTCCCACATTAAGCTGACACAGCGTGATGTAACTATACTACTGTTGACAGTGTTGTCTAACCCGGCTCACTGTATGGACGGTATATATCCCTATCTACAGTTGAGTGGTATACACATGACCCACATCTAACCTGCATAATGGCTCCGCTGTTCTGTGATACCTGTACTGTATAATCAAACTACTCATCCAATACCTCCCATCAAGCATAAAGTATGCCATGCCATATTTGTACAGGGGCACGGGTGGCCCAGTCGTCCAAGGCGCCGCGATTCGCTGTGAAGGGTTGCGTCCCTTGGGCACGCCAGAAACCTATGATCGTGGGTTCGAATCCCGGTTCGCCCAGATTATTATTCTAGGTTTGTCAGCACCATACCCGTGCTCGTGGGTTTCACCGGAGTGGTAAACGTCTGTGACCTGCATCACTTCGGGCTTTCCTCCCACATTAAGCTGACACGCCGCGATATAACTGGAATACTGTTAAAAGCGGCGTTAAGCCAAACTCACACACACTCCATATTTGTACAAAACCTTAATTTGTTTGTGGTAGCTCATCGCACATGTATTTTTCTGCTCATAATTTATATTGGCTTTGGCAAAAATATACCATCACAGCATATGTTAGTCCTAGTTTATATACTACTCAAAAGAAGTTAACAACCAATTCGTTCATACTTCTGTAGTTAATCTGTCACGCCTGATTCTTTCATATTATTATAGTTAATCTGTCATGCCATCACAACTTAGCTACATGTATAGTAATATGAAAGAAACAGATTTTTAACTTCTTTTGAGTAATATACATTTAAGACCACTTCTGATTCCTCATGAATATTTGCCGATTATTTCACACACTTTGAGTATGCGCGCTAACTTTAACCGATAACATCACTGTCCAAACGTTCATGTTTTCATTATTATTTACTGGTATTTGTGTCTAAGCTTTGTTTTTAATAACATTTTCAATACCGGTAGTCATATTATGCAGAATATATGCTGCAGTGATTAAGCTTCATCTAGTACTGCTGTCCCGGAAACTATTCACAACAGTCACAGTGATGTGTCTATTATTCATTGGTTACATAATGGAATAGATATTCGAACAACGAGCTCATCTGTTACTGCTCAGGATCAGTGATCATTTATCCTTTTTTCCAAATGAGTATTTTAGTCAATGTGTTTATATGCATCAAGATACTAGTTCAATGACTTATTTTAACTATTTTAATGGGACAATGTGGATCTAGACCATTGCATGTGTATACATCATAGCCACCTCTTCATTGAGAAGTGTGTATTGGTGACTGTTTCAGATACTGGTATTAAGATGGTTGAATATTTGAAAATAAACAATATCAGTTGAAAGGATAGCAGTAGCGGTATTAAACCTTTAGGCTTCTAGCTGCTCAGTCCGCAGTTCATTGTGAGAACAGATTCTCTGCTTCCTATATATATTCTATACTTCATATAATGTTATTAAACACTCTGTATTCATAATATATGTCTAAAGAATTAAGAAAAAGAACTGTTTTCTTGGTAACGGGTAGTAATTGTCTTTCTAATTCATTTCTCAATTAGCACATGAGGAAGGATGTGTTACATTGAGAATAATTATCATGGAAGGAGTTCTGGTTTCATACTTGCAGATTTTCAGACAGGTAGTCAGTTGCCCACAATTGCTGTTTGAGACTGGGGTATTATTTTAACTAGCCCACCCAGACACAATGATTTATGATGGTTGAAAAGCACTGAAATTGACCTGTATCAATTGCAGATTTAGATACTAGCAGCAGTGATTGATCTTTGCCCCCAAAAGTTGATAAAATATTATTGGGGGATTTTTTTGGACAAAATCAATGCAAGTTACTTTAATGTTTTCATTTTACTTCTGAAGTTGTGGTCCACAGACAAGAAACTACTGGTCAACAGTCGTACTGTATTCACTGTAATATAACCCCTGGGCACTTAGAAAATTGACAAAAGGGGGTGCTTAATTAGACCATATACAACAAGTTCAATTTGTTCTCGAAGATTGAGGGGCAGTCGGGTAGCCTAGTGGTTAAAGCGTTCGCTCGTCACGCCGAAGACCCGCGTTCAATTCCCGACATGGGTTCTATGTGTGGAGCCCATTTCTGGTGTCCCCGCCTTGATATTGCTGAAATATTGCTAAAAGGGGCGTAAAACCATACTCACTCACTCACTCTCAAAGATTGAATAGTCGTGAACAAACTTAGTTGAAACATTGATGAAACTTAAACTTCTTGGATGATAGCTACATGGCAGTCATATATCCCCTCTGTGCGGCTGTTTTCTGTAAACAAAGAAGGATATACATGGGCTGTCATGTAAACTTTCCATCTTATACGGGGGTGCTTATAAAAGTTTACAGATTGGTCTAGAAGTTGGTCAGGGTGTAAGTATTGGAGCAGGGTGCTTAATATGGCAAATATGGTAACAGGGCCCCGTTCCACAAAGCCATCGTAGAGCTACGACTGTCGTAGGTCTATGTTTAAGTATGAGAGTTACGATCATCTTACCGCTAAGATCGCTTTGTGAAACGGGGCCCAGGACAGCAAAGTGTAGTTAGAGTTGTCTGCCCTTTTCAGATATTAAGATATGGAGAAAGGTATGCGACATCTGCTGAGTAGATAGCACTGTTACAAACTGCAAGATGGCAGAGAGGAAAGAATGTAAATTATGTTTGAAAACTTTTGAAAATGTTTGTTAGTATATATGTGATAGGTCTATTACAATGTGTTGTTGCTAAAGGAGGGACGCTGTGAGACGTGGAACACTTGAAGCACTAAAATAGTCACCGATTCCGTATGTCAACTGTGATGCTTGTCAGGAAACTTAGTATGCTGTCCTTCGCCAGTTCACCGTTCAAACCTCAATTTATAGAAGTAGAATATATATTTCCATTTTCAGATAGAAATAGCTATTTATATATACATCATAACATATACTCAGGTATTTTATCTGTGGAGTATTGTGTTGGTTTTGATAATATAAAACTTGGAATGATTTATTCAGTAAATGTGAATAGGTATAGAACAATTAATATCTTTGTATGTATGTGATATGGAGACAGAATTAATGAGATCAAGTATATTTTATTGAAAAGATAAGTCTTGATAATACATGTCAACATTACTATCATTTTATGTAAAAAACAGTTTACAGATTGTAGAATATTATTTTTTTGTCATTGTAGTCCTAAGCTTGTTTTCAGATGTACATTTCATTGATATGTTCGAATGTCTATCAGCATGTAATATTTTTGTTATATGCCCTTAATGCCAAGGGAATTAAACTGTATACACTGCACATAATGCACTTGTGATACTGACGCCGCCGACACTCGATATGTACATACGAGGAATATATCTCCGCAATATGGCGTCGGAGACCTTATCTACAGAGTCTTCATATCGATACAGACATATATTATTATATATAATGGGACATATATGTAAATATCCAACTGTATCATAGCTCAATCAAAATGGATTTTACTGATTTATATCAATGTTATATCACTTGAAACTTGTTACTCAAATCATAATAAAATAATTGAAATAAATAAAATGACTTAACAATAAATGGTATTTGTCTTTCTTTATCTGTCAGGTGAGGTGAAATGAGGTTTAACGTTGTGTCCAAGATTATTGCACTTACGCATTAACTTTAAGTGTGTGCGTGCGTGCGTGTGTACTTGTCCTAATGCTGATTTTATAGTGCTAGCCCACTGAGATACCATGCCGCAGTTGAGCATATACTGACTCCAAGCCGACCAGTCCTTGTTTTAGCCCCAAATGCCGAGTTCCAGACAGGGTAACCACAAGTACATTCTTTTAAGGTCTTATGGTATGATGCGTCTGACGATCAAACCCTGGACCTTCCGCTCTTCGGGCAGGCGCTCTACCTTTAGACAACAGAGGTGGTGCCATTGTCGTTGGGATTTTCTAATTTCATTACTGTTTTATGGTAGTAACATCTTATGGTATGACGTGGCCGGTCTTTATCGTGTTGAGTTGTGGTCTGAGTGGCCCTGTGGTCTGTGCTGCTTCAGTTTGCTGTGTGGACATCGATGGCGCAGTTGTTAGGAATTGGCAGTGCAGAATTGTATCTCTTGAAGCCTGTGATCATGGGTTCGAATCCCGGTCCAGCCAGATTATGTTTCCATGAGTTTGTCAGCACTCGTGGGTTTCACCGAAGTGGTATAGTCTGAAACCTGCATCTCTTCGGGCTTTCCTCCCACATTAAGCTGTTATGCCGTGAAATAACTGGAATACTGTTCAAAGTGGTGTTAAATCAAACTCACTCACTTAGTGTGTTGTGCTGAGTTGCGTCCTATTGTTGCCAAGATCTGCAGGTCTGGGTTCAAATCCAAGAAATACCCAGATAATGATCCTCTGTAAGCTGTAACTGAAGTGGTGAATGTCTGCAACCTTTGTAAGGCTTATTTTTATACACAGAACAAAATTATAAAGCGACAAGAAAGAAGTCTCAGGAATGGACTGTAAAACGGCTTGTTCATATTTGCATATTGAGAGATGCGCTCGTAAAATATCGCGTCCTAGCCCAGATATGAAAACAGATTTGATGCAGAATTTCTGTGCACACGTAATCGAATTCTTTGAGACAAAATGTAACGAAAGAAGAAGACAGAATACTCTCTATATTTTATAAAGAGTTAAGTGATTTGAAAAAAACAACATCTCGGCTAAAACGGGCCGTTTAATTGAAAGATGCAGGCGTGCTTATGTCTCAGGGCAATAGTTATTCACTTTTCCATTTCTCAGCCTCATCACTTTTGAATCGAAAAATTATTTGTGTACTGCGGCTTACGTTTATGGATAATTTGAAAAAATAACATGCAGTCTAAAATCCGTAATATCAGTTCGTAAATGCACCCGTCTTTACGGCGGATGGAGACAAGATTTTACAGAAGCTTCCAAGACAATGTTAACCGCTTCTCTGTAACACTGCAAATACTCGCTCTTGTTCCGTTTTCTTCTCGCTTTTCCTGTCTTCAAATTTTCGATCACTTGGTATTGGAGTTAGCTACTACGTGACGGAGGTTTCACCAGGCCTGATGTTGAGGCAATATAGCTATCTAAAATAATCATTCAACTGCTCAGTAATGTATGGAAGGGTTTTGCAGTCGTCTCAAGATCATAGGTTCATAGCATATCGCTGAATCAGCAACAATTCCATTATCATCATCCTGTTAGCACCTCGCCTGACGCCCTGGGATATTTCATATGTGGGGTGTATCCGTGTAAACTTGTATGTGTTGATGTAGAACTCTTACAAACATAGTCGGACGTATAAATATTCGTGCTCTTTATTTATCA